CCCCTGGACCCTCGACAGGACAGGGAGCTGGGCAGCAGGGTGGCCGGCGGGTGCCACAGAAACGACCACCAGCCACCCCAAACATCTGCCAAGTGAAGATGTTCCACACAAATCAGAGCGGAGGAAATCTTTCCAGCAGGCAGACCAAACACGGAGGAGAAGGGTCCGGACCAACGCACAGTATCAGGATGGGAAGGGTGACGACGGGGGAGTGTGAATGAGCTGACAGGATCAGGCAGCGGTGGCAACGGTGAGGCAGCGCCGTGGGGTCCACGTGGTCCGTGTGACCCGGGGGGCGTGGGCGCTGCAGCTGAGGCAGACTCTGCGAAGTCACGGCACAGGATGGAACCACTAGGGCGGTGGGCAAAACGGTGACAAGTATGTGCAGAACAGAACAAGCTGTTTAAAGGAAAACAGGACAAAATACCTGACTTCTCTGACAGGTGGTGAGAAGGAGAGAACCAAAGACAAATGGAATGAACAGAAAAACAGTGGTGGAATTAAACACAAATATACCAGTAAGATGTTTAATATTTAAAGACTGGATTAAAAAATTAGAGACACACACACAGTTATATGTTGCTCACAAGAGACAGTCTGAACTATGTCAGGAGGGACCGGATCTCCAGATGGAAGAGACGGACCGCGCACACACGAAGAGAGAGAGCAGGTGTCCCTGGACCGCGTCGGATGCGGGAGAATCGCGGGGAGAGGTGCTCGGTCATCAGGGGATGTTCCGTGAGGCTCAGAGTCATCTCCCCCAGGGGAGAGACCGTGTCCGGTCTGCAACCTCCCAACAAGGCCGCCCCAGCACAACGGGAGCCGGCGGGGTCGGGGGAAAGACGCGAGAGGCTCAGCGCTCTCCTTCTCGTCCGGCAGGCAGATGTCAGCAGGGATGAGGTGACCGTGACCTGATTGGTATTCCAAGAGCACTCTGCCCAGCAACCATGGACAGGCATTCTCCCGAAACATACCACTACCAGTGGACCGTGCACTGAGCTGTGAATCAAGGCACAGGAAATGCGGGACTGCGTTCGGTGGATGCCCGGGCCCACACACAGCTGCGCTGGAAACTGATCATACAAAGATAACAAAACCCCCAACTGTTCTCAAAACACTCAGTAGACTTCTACGGGACTCAGGGACCTGAGACAAAGTAACAATGTCAATTAGAAAATATTTTGGAGCAGAGTGATGATAAGAAGGTGACACATCAAAGCTGTGTGATGTCACTAAGCTCTGTCTAGAGGGAAATTCAGAGTCTCAAGTGCTGTTACTAGAAAAACAGAAAGACTACAATCAAGAACCTGAGCATCGGTCTTAGGAAGCGAGAAAAATAGTAAGTCAAACCCAAAGAAAACAGAAGGAGAAGAAAAACAGAAAGAAATCAATGACACAGAAAATAAGCATGCACCACAGGTCAATGACCAAGCAGAAGTCTGGCTCCTCGGGAGGACACTGGGGCGCCCCCTCCATGGGCGGGGATGGGCACAACCGCCTGGTGGTGCCGCACACGGTTTAACATGGAGCGCCCACGACATCCTGCGCGTGCGCCTGCACCCCCTGAGCCGCCCAGAACAGACCCACAGAGCCGGACAGACCGCAGACCGTGGCCTGAGACACGGGGGCTCTGGGGCGGGGCTGCTTCCCAGGCGACAGGGCGAGGGCCCCGCTGAGTCGTGGGCTCTACTGGGTGAACTGTGCGGTATGTGGGTTACATCTCCGTAAACCCTCACCCAGAAAAAAAGACTCGTACAGCTGGCAGCGCCCCAGCAAGGTGGAGCAAAGGAAGAGGAGCACGGAGCGCCAGCGGGAGACGGGGAGGGGGCCTGTACCGCGGGGCAGCACGCCGAGCAGGTATGATGACTTTACGCCAACACAGGTGGGGTCTGAAATCACGGTAACGGTGCCTTGCAAGATAAAATGGAGCACAACTGACAAACAGGCACCAGGTCTCAACGCTGCTGTGTGTGTTGCCGAAATGGAATCCATAATTGCAACACTGCTACAAAAACGCTGAAGGCCCACAGGGCTCTGCGGTGGACTCGCCCAGACGTCTAAAGAAGAAACAGCGCTGACGGCCTCCAAGCCACCGAGTGCAACATCCCCCTGACAAGGACGCAACAAGAGGAACAGCAACACAGACCAACCGCACAACTTCCCACACGACATGGGCAGAGACGCCCGGCAATGTCTACGGAGGGTAACACGCCATGGCCAAGGCTGCTTTACCTTCTGAAAGTCAGTCAGTGTGATTCAGCTCAGCACTTTTTAAGGGACAGACCCCACATGATGGTCACACTGACAAACACGTGGGAGACTCACGTCCTTCCTGACAAGAGCCCTCAGCAGCAGGAGAGGGGACATGTCCTCCACCCGATAAAGGGCGTCTGCCGGATCCCACAGACTTCCACAGTGGGTGTGGACAGCACCATCCGCGGCCCAGGAACAGCCAAGGACGCCTCCCTCAGTGGCAGGCACGCCACGCGGGTGACAGGCACACAGATCGGAAGGGATGAACTAGAGCTGGCCGCACATAGGCACGCTAAGGAAACGAGAGATCCCGACATTCAAACAGTAAGATTAATAACTGAATTTTGTACTATCGGGCATAACATCAATGTATGAAACTGGACTGTCCTTGTGTGCATCACCAAGAGGCCGTCAACGTTCGTGCAAACACTTGTTCAGGAATAAAGCGAACAAAGCACGGGAAAGGCCCCTCGTCCAAAGTAACACAAGGTCGCCGCAAGTAGGGAACCCCGGAAGAAACAAGGGATAGTCACTGATTGGAAGAATCAATATCGTTCACATCCATAAACCCTAATCAAAAAATCACACAAGACTTCTCATAGGAATAGACAACCCGATTCAAAACCTTGCACAGAAGGACAGAGGGCCAAGGGCAGTGCAGACGCCCGAGGCAGCAGGGCGGCTGTGGCTGGAGGCCTCCCCCTCCCTGAGTCGCGGTTCTGGCAGTCTGCTATTGGCCCACAGGCAGGCGAGCGGACCACAGGAGGGCTCCAAGACGCCGGTGGCAGACCCTCGCGCACCGTGCGCTGGACGGCCCATGCAGAGAAGCAAACCCGACCCCTCAGAAATTCCAAACTCCGGGCTGCCTGGGTGGCTCAGTCGTTAAGCGTCTGCCTTTGGCTCAGGTCATGATCCCAGGGTCCTGGGATCGAGTCCCGCATCGGGCTCCCTGCTCCGCGGGAAGCCTGCTTCTCCCTCTCCCACTCCCCCTGCTTGTGTTCCCTCTCTCGCTGTGTCTGTCTCTGTCAAATAAATAAATAAAATCTTTTTTAAAAAAAACTGTAAATGGTCTGTTTAAAAAAAAAAAAAAAGAAATCCTAAACTCCAAGGGGACCCGTAAAACCGAAAGCTTCTGGAAGGGACCCCATGAGAGTATTTCCACAACCTGGGGCAGGCAGAGCGGTGCACACATCAGCTGTAAAGGACACGACATGAAGGTGAGCCTCACTTAGAGTTCTGCCCACAGGAAGGTCCCACCAGGATGGACGCAGCCGGGAGGGGAGGCTACTTGCCACACAGACACCTGGCCCGGGCCTGGACCCAGGACACAGCCGTGCACAGTGCTCAGGGCAGGACTGACCTGCTGGGCCAGCAGCCCCCAGGGCTCCAGAAGCCCCCGGCTGGCCAGCACGCGGTGCAGGCAGCCCGCTCCACGTCAGCGTCTGGTGGCTTTGAATCTGCAACTTCCTGTGCCCAGGGACACCGGCCGCCTCTCACACACGCCAAACCAGACGTCCCGCGGCCGTCTTCCAAGCACAGGCCCGTCGGCCACACAGACACCCAGCAGGGCCCATCACAGGAGTGAGCTCCCGGGGAACACGGACTCCGGGGCCGATGTGCCTACACAGGTTCATCGGTGTAACCGACACACCACCTGGGGGGAGGGGGTGTCTGCACCGGAGGAGGACGTGCGTGGGGGGTGGGGCCCACGGGAAATCGCTGTACCTCTCCCACAATCTCACTGTGAACCTAAAACTCATCTAGAAAATAGTTATTTAAAAACATTTTTTTTAAACTCCTTGGTTGTCCTTGGAGGCACACAGGGAGGGGCAGAGGGAAGCAGGTAAAGGTGGGCTGGGGGCTGGTGGCAGAAGGGACAGTCCCGGCCTGCGCTGCCCTCTGAACAAGCAAGAAACAAAGAGCTCCTCCAGCTGGAGACACGGGAGCAGCAATGAAGAGACGTGGCAGGAGACAGAGTCCCCTGAAGTGAAGGGGAAGTGGGAGCCAGGAGAACACGCGAGCAGGCAGATGGTGGGCTGTGCTGTGAGCAAGAGTGAGGCCAAGGGAGGAACCGTGAGTGGCTCGAGAGGCCGCGGCAGGGACTCTGGGTCCACAGCTCGGAGAGAACAAAGGCCTCCAGGGAACAGCACGCCCACCCCAGGCAGAGCCCAGGGTTGGGGCACCCAGCTGCTCGACAGGAGCCCGGGAGCGGAAGACTGTGGGCACTGCTGTCCAAATCCTGGAGTCCACCAGGCCGTCCCCAAGAGCACCGGCGGAAGGAGACCACCTGCAGGAAACCACCGGAGGCCGTGCTACTCGAAACAACGACATGGGACCAGAGGCAAACGGAGCCCAGAGGGATAGCGGACAGCCAGGGTGGAGGGCGAGGAAGCCCAGAAGGCTCTCCCGGGGGAAGCGGGGAAGCACCCGCCAGAATTCTGCCGGCGCTGTGCAGGGGTGCAGGCGGTCCAAGCACAAGAGTGGAACAGACCCCCACCCTCTCCAAGAAGGCCCAGCCGATGGTGGGGGGCAGGAGCATGGCGGGAGAGCGGCCAGCCACAGGCGGAGTACGCTCTGTCCTCGCCAAGGTGCCCAGCTTCCCAGTTCCCAGCTGGTGAAGGGCCACTCGAGTCCAGGAAGCCTCACAAACAGCGGGTTACTGGACTGACTGAGCCCAGGTCGGAGGGAGGACGGCCCCCACGGAGCCAACACGGGGCTCCTCTGAGAGGCCCCGCAGCAAAGGATACGCGGTGTGCCCTCCGTGCGGCACACCAGGTAGAGGCAGGCCGCGATCACGTGGGCCATCTTGCGGCCGCGGGTCAGGTGCTTGCTCACGGCCATCTTGAAGAAGTTGAAGGCTGTGTCCAGGCAGTGCTGGTTCAGCTGCAGCTGGCTCCCCAGGTGGTGGATCTGACGCCTCCCTAGGACACAACATGAGACGTTACCACTGGTTCCCAGCGGGAAGGACATAGACTGGCCCTCCCCCTTCTAAGCTGTCAGGTTCACTTCTCATGTGTCCCCAGCCTTCTGTGTGGACACGGGGGCCTAGGATTCGCACACCTCTCTGCACCCAAACGGAATCGGTGCCTGCAAAGGGTTGTGTGTCGGCCAGGCTGGGGCTACTCCTCACCGCCGAACATCACCACGTGCTCCACACAGACACGACCTCCCGACAGGGGCTGATGACATGGCCTGACGGCCACGGGCCCCACAGCTGCATGCCCTGGGCCTGCTCCAACAGCCAGGAGCCTGGCCATGCCCACCCAGCCTTCCCAGCAGGGCCCCATGTGTCCTGGCCAGCTGCCCCCAGGCCAGCCTCCAGCCTGCCATGCACCGCCTGGGCAAGGGCACGGGCAGCACCTGGCAGATTCGGGGACGGAAGGGGCTGCCGGGATGTCCGCGGACTCCACGACATAATGTGCACTCCTGCCCCTGGGTAAGCCCCTCCCACAAGCTGTGGGCGGCAGCAGGAGAGGAGACGCACCTGCTGTGTGTGTGGACAGGAAGGGTCGCCGCGGGCCACGGGCCACACAGCACAGAACCAGGAAGCCCAAAGCCCACGTTGGGACAGAGCAAGAACTAGATTGTAGCACCCGCCCACACCCCACTCCCAGCGACCACCGTGGACCCCAGCACACAGACTCCCCACTGCACCCAGCAGCCCTGGCTCCCCAGATCCACTCTCTCTTGGTGAAGGCCACCCTAAGCTGGGCCAGGGAAAGAAGGCAGGGACTCGTGCAAGTTGCCCACAAAGAGCTACATGCAGATTCCCCTGCCCTCTGACAAGGACAGTAGTCTGGGGAAGGCGAGGGCTGTGTGGCTTCCTCAGGTCCCACGGCCTGGCCTGCCCGCCCCACAGATGCGGCAAACAATGACTGCCAGCCACAGGCAGGGACCCTGGGAGCCAGCGCCCCGAGGGACCAGCAGCCGGCATGTGCTCTGGCAGCTGGGGGGCCAGACGGTCAGCACCCCTCCCAGTGGAGCACCCCTGCCCTGCCTGGAGCCCTATGTCGGGCTGAACCGACATAGAACCACAGCCCTGACTGACTGGACAGAAAGGGGCCTATCACTGGCTCCCCACGGGCACACACACTCAGCCCAGCACACCTGCGATGGAGGACCTGTGAACCCCCTACCTGCTGGCTGATGCCCGTCTGGGAGTTCTTGGAACAAAGTGGGGGGCTCCCTGGTGGCTTGGGGGCTCAGAATGATTGCAGTTATCTTGTAATATATTGTATATAATTCACATACTGTAAAATCTACCCACTTAAGGTATACAATTTAATCATTTTAGGGGCGCCTGGGTGGCTCAGTCGGTGAAGTGTCTGCCTTCGGCTCAGGTCATGATCCCCGGGTCCTGGGATGGAGCCCCACATCGGGCTCCCTGCTCAGTGGGAAGCCTGCTTCTCCCTCTGCCTCTGCCCCACCCCCGCTTGTGTGCACACGTGTCCATGCTCTCTCTCAAATAAATAAAATCTTTAAAAAAATAGTTTTAGCATATTCATCACAATTCAGAATATTTCATGACCCCAAAAGAAACCCTGTACCCATTAGCAGTCACCCCCGAGCCACCCCCAAGTAATTTTTTACTCCATGCGAGGTTAGCAAGCACAATAGGCAAACTGAATAAATCCCATGATGCAGACATGCACGTACAATTGTACAACGTTAATAAGTATAAATTCTTGTAAAAGCATTCCTAATCAACTAACCATAGCTTATTCTCATTAGGCTTCCTCCCAAAAAATGAATGCTAAAAGTAAACACACTAGCACATAGTTGCCTTCCACATTTTGGCATTTTGTGAAAATTAGGCCCGTCTTTCCGTTCAAGCCAGTGGCAATGGCCGGGAGAGCAAGAAAATGAACCCGGCGCAGGGCCGGGGCCAGGCAAGTGCCCCAGGAACATGCAGAAAGAAGGGTCTCAGTCAGAACTGCTTGAGTCTCAGGCTCTCCGTCCACAGGACACCCCCCCCCCACAAACCCCCAGACCAGGAGGACCTTGGTGACACCAGCTGGGTGGGCCCCAAGGTCAGGCCAGTGCAGCGGACACTGGGGTGCCCCAGCAGGGCCACGCATCACAGCAACTCCTGTGACCAGCTCCAGGGGCACCCCACGACAGAAGCCCCTTTGCAGACATGACAACAGACACCGAGAATCAGCAACCTCCGTGGGAAAGGGCAATGAGAGGGAACAGCAACACCAGGCTCCACGAGCAGACTGGTAACGGAAAAAAGCTTTCAAAGCCCATGACATCCTCCAGAATATCAGAAAAGATATCAATCCACAGAAATGTATCAAGAGAGGGGCGCCTGGGTGGCTCAGTCAGTTAAGCATCTTCCTTCGGCTCAGGTCCTGATCCCGGGGTCCCAGGATGGAGCCCCGCATCGGGGTCCCTGCTCAGGGGGGAGTCTGCTTCTCTCCCTCTCCCTCTGCTCCTCCCCCCTGATCTCTCCTCTCTCTCAAATAAATAAAATCTGGGGCGCTGAGTGGCTCAGTCGGTGAAGCGTCTGCCTTCGGCTCAGGTCATGAACCCAGGGTCCTGGGATCGAGCCCTACATCGGGCTCCCTGCTCCGCGGGGAGTCTGCTTGTCCCTCTGCCCTTCACCCTACTGGTGTGCTCTCTCTCATCCGCTCTGTCAAATAAATAAATAAAATCTTAAAAAAAAAATGTATCAAGAGACTATAATTAAAAAGATACAGCCCTTGACAATTAAAAATATGATCACTGAACTTTTTTTAAAACTCAAAATTAGGGGCTCCTGGTGGCTCAGTCAGTTGAGTGTCTGACTCTTGATCTCAGCTCAGGTCTTGATCTCAGGGTCGTGAGTTCAAGCCCCAGGCTGGGCGTGGAGCCTACTTAAAAACAAAATAAAACAAAACAAAACTCAAAATGAACCGAACGGCTGAGCAGACACAGATAAAGACCTTGACAGTGGGCTCGGGGGTGGAGGAAGAGCGGCTGCCGGCGGGGTCCACGGGGGAGGCTCGCAGCTGGCTCGAGAGACCTCTCCCTCCAGACGGGGCGCAGACTCCTGCAGGAGGTTATCAGAAAGAACAAGGACATGGCATAAGGACAACGGACGCCAGGGGGCAGCAGTCCTGGGAGCAAGGGCTCTACACACACACCTGGGGGCGGGCCACGGGCCTGAGCACTGCGCTGCAGAAGGGAGGCGGACAGCAGGGCCGCGCGGGGGCCGCGCCACACTTGGAGGAGAAGCGTGGCCTGTCTGCCCACGGCTTCGCCCCCTGGCACAGCCACACCTCCCCCGTCTGTGTGGGCCGGCCTCGGGGACTGCTCTCTAAGGAGCACAGCATGGGAAATGTAGGAGCGTGGCAGCATGCCAGGCCCGGAGCCTGGGTACAGCCTACGTGGGACAAAGACAAGGGATCTCCCCAAATCCACGGCGGACTCCGAAGGGCCAGGCCTATTCGAGTGTGTCCAGGCTGGGAGAGATGGTCGCAGACGGGAAGAGGCCCAGCACGGCGAGGCGGCTCGCAGCAACCCTGTGGCCAGGCTGCGGGCGGTGCGTGCCCTAGGGAAGCCGGTGGAGGGCATGCTCAGGGAGCTGTCTCTGCAACTCTGCCGGGAGACCAGAGGGAGTTCAAAACAAAACTTGAAAAAGCCCACAGAACAACAAGGAGGAATCGCTATCTCTGACCTTGTGGGCTCCAGCAGGCGCGAAGCTTGTAGCAAAGGTAACTGCGAACATCAAAAACAGAAGGCTTGAAAAAGTGACCAAATCTTCCACGTTAAGAAGCTGAAAAAGAACAGGGAACTGAAGATGTCGAAGGGAGGGTGTAACGGACAGAAGACTCCAATCAAGAAGGAGACAAACAGCACAGAAGACCCACGAGCCGACGCTCTGCGAAGATTAATGCAGCTGCTACACCAATAAATCCCTAGCAAGGTCAAGTAAGGAAACAGGGAGAAAGCACAGCTTACCAAGGTCAGGAATGCAGAAACGCCATCTCCCCAAACCGGGAGACCCAGGAGCACGGGAAGAGCGTTATGAGTGACCCTGACAACAGTGTGAGTCGGAATTACTCCCGTCAATCCGAAAAGGACGTCTCATCAAAACTGACAAGAAGGAAGAGAAAATCTACCTGGTCCACTAAAACCCTATGAAAAAGCGACCCATCAAAGAAACTGCATCTTTCATCTTTAAATGTGAGAAAGAAAACTGAAGGCCCAGGCAAAGGCCCAGACGGCTTCGCATCCTCCCACAGGTCCAGGAGGACACCGGAGTCGGTGCAGACAGCACACAGAGCGCCCGTGGCCCCGCGGGGCTTCTCCCAGAAGTGCGAGGGGAGCATAACATTCATAAAATCAGGGCAATTCACCGCAGTAACAAGATAAAGAGAAAACACACCATAATCATTCAACAGACACACCATGCTTGCTGACAACACGCCGGTGCCACTGTCACATCAAGGTCAGCAGCCGGCCGAGGACACGCACAGTCACCCCTGCCGCACGTCGGCCTGGGGAGAGCAGCCCCATGGCAGGAGCCCCCGCAGAGCCCTGGACATGACTGAGGCACAAAGATGGGGACGGGAGGAGGGGTGGGTCACAGACCACGGGGCTGCCAACGAGGCAGCCACCTCAACGACCACACTTCTGAGTCAGTGCAGCAGCTCCCCACCTACTGATCCACAGAGTCCACGGAATCAATCCCAACCAAACTCCGGGCAAGTTTTCCTGTGGAAACCAACGAGATGATTCCAACTCTCTGCCACACAAGGGAGCCAGAGAAGCCGAGACCGTGGTGAAGGGGGACAGAGCTGAGAGCTCCACGCGGGATTTCTGCAAGAACACACCGGCCTCAGCACACACAGACCCACGGGGCGTGGTTCCAGAGACACCACGGACCCTTGGTGTCACAGCAGAGCCGGACTTGACTCTTCCACGTTCGGTCACT